AAACATGTGAGTCACAGAACTGCCGAAGAAAGCCTCCCTCACCAGCAAACGGTCTCCTGTCTGAAAGACTTAGTCCTTCGATGGCATCAGTAGAAAAGTGTTGAGTGTGGATTCAGAGCCTTCTCTGGAAACATTCACCTTTGTTCCTCCCACTTATGCCTATTTCTGAGTAACAGCCAGCCTTCCTCCCCCCCTGCTGTTGAAGCCAGAGGAGGACTCCCATTTTATTTCTAAGTAAGACAGTTAGCAATCGGCATATTGCGGGAGGGGCTGACGAGACTTTCCGTTATGAGGAATTGGGAGGAGACCTGTTTCCAAGCTTAAATTTCCTGCTGTAAAGAAACAATGTGTGTATTTAGGGCATTTCTGAAGGCCCGGGGAAAGGGGAACAAATACTGTCATTTCACTTTTATTTATAAAGCATGTGTTTCGTAAATCCATTTGGCACAGAGACACAAAGAGAAAAACACTAGAAACCGTTTTTCCACTAGTTCATAGACCAAGAAACAGTAACTATCTTTTCTCTCCACTTTCACCTTGTGTTCTTGGAACATCATTTGTGCATATTCTGCCCTCAATGAGGACCAAGTAAAGATGAGTTTTGTGCTTAGTAGAGTAAGAAGTGTGGCTGCATATGCAAAACTGGTTCCCACTCAGTCATTACTTTTATCTGTCCCTCCTGTCTCATCTTCATTTCATGTGGACCGTGCTGTGTGTAAGTTTATGAGTGTTGTTTTTTTGTATCAGTCATGAAAGTCCCGTTCAGTTCTATCCAGAGTTCTATTTATCTAGCTGTACAGATTCTTTCAGAGGCTTAGTGTGCTGCTTCGGACGTGCCACCTGCGGTAGTGGATCATGTGGAGTGAAAGGCAAATCTTATTGCTTAATGTATAAACTCTTACCACGGGAAGCATCGCTGTTTCCAATAAATATTGCTGAAGACAAAACCCAAGGCTCCAGCCCCTTATTTTGTGTCAGTTCTTTGGGTCCGACAGTGGGTGGACTGAGGCTCATTTCACTCTCCGTTGTTTTCTGGTACCGGCAAACCAGACCCGCTGCTCTGTAAGCGGGAAACGTTTCATCGAGAAGCGAGCTGGACTGGACACTGGTAACTTCTTGGTAACCCCAGGACGGAGGAGATCGTGTAGAGAGGAAGTCTTTTAGATGCTAAGTGAGTTATCATCAATGGTGATACCAGAAGACTATCATGTTCAGAGGGGCAAATAAAATATATAATTTCAACCTGTCTTTTGTTTTCTTTCATGCTTAGAGAGAAAAAAATACACATGGAAATGCAAATTGGTCAAGAGCCAGCATTCTTTTCTCTT